GCATGTAGTGAGTGACGCTGTTTGATCGTGTTTGTTTTCGTGCGGCGTCTGCAGTTCTGATCGGAACATCACACGTCATTCTGTGGATGGGTGGATGAATGAATGATCTTCCAAACAATATCTTTCATCCATTCATTTATTTTTTTGTTTGCTCGTTTGTTCGTTAACTCGTTCGTTTGTTCGTTCGTTAATTTGTTCGTTTGTTCGTTCGTTCGTTTGTTTGTTTATGTTTTGTCTTGTAACTTATTGATCCGTCACTTGCTCTTAACATTATTCAAAACTTTTTCGTTTTTCAACATTCCAGGTCATTAATGTAGCCGGAAATACTCTCCTGCTTTTCATATTGAACTCGCAACTTCTTTTGCATCGGCAGCACATGAAAAATCCAATTTATTTTTTTTTATTTTCCGCCAAAAACATGTTTTATTACTTTCAAGAAAGAGTCACTAAACCGGATAAATTTATTTCCCGCAAAAACGTAAGACAAACAAATGACTCGCTGCTTGAACTATGGCTCCAACGCCTCTAAACCATTCACGCACACACAGACACATACACTCGCACACAAACACACATTCATTCATGCATAATGTTTGTTTTATATGTTTTATATGTTTTATATATTTGCTTTAAATGTTTGCATGCATTATTTTGATCGATTGTTGATTTAAACTAAATTTGATGTTTGTATTGAACCTTTGTGTGGGAATAATTTTCGTTTGTTGTGTCATCATTCAATTAGTTAACATTGATTACTCTTTATTTTTTTACTCAATTTTTAGACTACGTGCCTGCCTACAAAACCAACAGTTCGCATATTTATATTTGCTTGTATGTATCTGAATATTATTTGGGAAACATTTCGAGATGAGTCTAGGAACATTTTGTCTTTGCCAATGTTTATCAATAGGCTTCTAAATATTATTATATAGGATTTTATAGTTGCAGAAACTTTTTCATCACGTTTGCTCGCTCTCCACCATTCCAAGACGGCTACCGAACGAACAACACAGTTTGTTCTTGGAGAAATTCTTTCTATTTGTGTAAACTCACTCAACGTTAAATAACTCAATATTGCTCATGTACATAAAATAATGATAGATGACTTTTATTGGCGACTTACGTGAGTTGAGTATTAGTTAGTGTTTAAAACGTTATTGTTGCGGTTGCGTTTGATGATGAGAACACCGAACCAGAAGAGCTGTGAGCGGGAGAAGAAAAGAATAGTATTCGTTTGGATAGGCTGGACACGTGTTTCGTCCCTACCGGGGACTAATCAGCAGCCCGAATACCTATCAGAATAGTTATCGCAGTTTCTTATAAAGCCCGCACAAATCAACTCCTTATTTCATGGTGTTTTATTTATTAGTCTTTTTAATCGCTAGGATTTTCAATCCGACATTATAAAGTTTAATAATCGGAATCGAATGAGAAACGACTCACCCATTATTATTAATATTATTTTTATTGTTTGATTGCAATTAAATATATTTTAATGATATAAAATAATAAAATTTAAAACTGAGTATTAAAATGAAAAGAGTAACGCAAATAATAATGTAAAAGTGTATAAGTAGTGTTCAAGAGCTTAAAGCGTCGTGTTAAAGAAATAGCTCTAACTAACTTTAACTTATGTCCTCGCCTATTATTATATACCAGGAGACCTTGCTCCCCAAAGCTTAACTTGCTGTCTAACTCTTTCTAACCAGTCAGGCCCTATTGTATGTCACCTCATTCTTATTATACAAAGTGTTATATGTTCTCATTAATTATACGTTATATTATATTGTATTAAGCTGCTTTATGTCTGTAAATTTGCTGTCTCGTCGTGAACTATTCTTTCATAACTCAACTATCATTATAATTGCTTACCTACTTTAACATATGTCTATATACAACCTATATTTACTTACACCTCCTAACTTGAATTATCATCTACATAATAATACACAAAAGTTATTTATTTGCATTTTTTTGTTTTATTTATCATATTTCAGTTTTATTAAAAAGTTAAAGATCTAGATTATTATGTTGAAATATTCTTGATTCTTATGTTGAAAAATTAGCTTTTTGTATTTTTTCATGGGCACTAGAAGACAGACGTAAATGGATTTGCAGTCAGAAAGTCAAACATACCTATCCTGTATACCTATATTTAATTTTAAAATACTTTTCATTTTTTAATTTTGCGTTTCACCCTCAAAGACTAAACAAACAAACTGAAACTTAATAAAAATTAAAAAAAATTATTTAAAAAATTTGTAGTCATGTTTTTTAGTCTTCATATTACATTTGAATTTTTCATCACGGATATTTTTTCATTTCTCTTTAATATTTTTATAGTTTCTTTAAAAGACAGATTCCAGTATAACGCATATCGTCTCAAATGTTTTTGATTCTTGTCTGCTTAAATGTATTTCTGAATTTTATTTGGTTGATAATTCCTGGTCGTCATCTTTGTCGTCGTCGTCGTCATCCTCCTCATCACTATCATCACATATATCAGTTTCCATTTATTGCGTGATGGAAAATTATTTCCTTACATTATTGCTGAAAAGATGACGAAACAGCTTTTCCAGGTTTGCGTGTGTCTGTCTGGATTGTGCAGAATCTGTCAACTCTGTGAATGAGCAAAGTCGAAATGGTTTGTTGCAGATATGCGCAACAAAAATTCATTTAGGAAATATTTTTAAAAACGTTTTCAGCTCCCAGCAGTCTCCATTGTTTCAAAAGTTCTAGTCCATAATTCAGAACGGTTGCCACTTTTTTGAAAGTTTTTTCGCTTATAGCTCATTGAAGCATTTTTGTATCAATGAACTTTTATTTCATTTTAATAGCAATTGAAATATTTGCGTCATAAAGTTCCGGTTGTC